CAAGCAGCTTTACTTTGAACTCACCACAAAGAGACCTCTTGATCTGGTCTATGTCTTTCTGTGCATCTCCACCAACAATTATATCATCTACATAGACCAACAAAACCACTATTCTGCCTTGTAACCATTTGGTAAAGAGTGAGTAATCAGACTTTGATTGTGAGAAACCATTTCTTAACAAGAAACCTGTCAACTTAGCAAACCATTGTCTTGAGGCCTGCTTCAATCCATGCAGTGACTTCTTCAATTTGCAGGCAATCCTTGTGTTTGACTTTGGTATTTCAATCCCTTTAGGAATTCCCATATAGACCTCTTCAGTTAGATCTCCATGTAGGAAAGCATTGGACACATCCAACTGTTCAAGGGTCCAGTTCTTAACAGCAGCTATTGCTAATAGGGCTTTAACTAAGTTAATTTTTGCAACAGGTGAGTAGGTATCCAAGAAATCTACACCATACACCTGAGTAAAACCCTTAGCAACTAGCCTAGCCTTGTATCTCTCTATTGTACCATCAGGCTTCAACTTGAGTTTAAACACCCACTTGCTTCCCACTACATGTTTATCTGGGGGCAAGGGTACAATCTCCCATGTTTGATTTGCTTCCAGGGCAGCCAGTTCTTCATTTATAGCTCTCCTCCATTTTAAAACTTGGACAGCCTCACGATAGGTTTTAGGCTCCACACATGTCAATACACTCAATGCAAAAGACTTATCAGCCTCATTGAGATGATCAAGGTTGAATGTAACTGAATGCCTAGTTACAGTATTACCAAAGGCACCAAATTGCAGCCGGGGATCTAAAATGCAGTCTTGATACTTTGATGGAAGTAATATTCTTCTTGGGGGTCTACCAGAGGGTTCCTCAAAGTCAATTTGAGGTACTAACTCAGGGTCAAGTTCCACATTAGTTGTGAGAGATACATCTGGTGTGTTAGATTCTTCATTATCAGTACCACCAGCACCAGTGAAGTCACTAGTTTCCCCCCTTTCAGCAGAGGCTGAATCAAGGTTAGAAGGATGTGATGTGGTGGGAACTAGGATTGGTGGAGCAGGGCTAACAACAGGAGAAGAAGGGTAGTGCTGATCAACAGTAGGATATGGGACAGATTGAGTTGATGAAACTCTAAAGGGAAGAATGGTTTCATGGAACACAACATGTCTGGAAACAACCACTTCTCTTTTCTGTAAATCAAGTAACTTGTACCCTTTAATTCCAGTTGGCAGACCTAGGAACACACATTGTCTTGCTCGAGGGGCAAACTTTGTTCTTCCACTCACCAAAGTACTAGCATAGCACAAACATCCAAAAACTCTAAGGTGACCCAGAGGTGGTGGTTTCTGATAAAGTAATTCATAAGGGATTTGTTTTCAAGGATTGGTGTGGGCAACCTATTGATAAGGTAGGCTGAGTGCAACACACAATCACTCCAATAGGATAAAGGAAGCCCTGATTGGAACCTTAAGGACCTAGCTACATTTAGAATGTGCTGGTGCTTCCTTTCCACTCTAGCATTCTGTTCAGGGGTTTCCACACAGGACATCTGATGTTCTATACCATTTTCCATGTAAAATTCACACATATTAAACTCCTGCCCTTGGTCACTTCTGATCACCTTAACCCTTTTATCAAACTGATTCTGTACTAAAGTGCAGAAGCCTTGTAGTAAAGGTCTAGCCTCACTCTTATGTCTCATCAAAAACACCCACACACCCCTTGAACAATCATCCACAACAGTTAAGAAATAAGCAAATCCATCATAAGAAACAACAGACAAAGGCCCCCAAATGTCAACATGGATCATTTGAAACAAATCATGTGCATTACTGGTGATAACAGGAAAGGGTAGTTTCTTATGTTTGGAAAGGTGACAGACATCACAGTGTGTAAATTTGGGATTAGTTACAGAAGATTGTGTTTGCTGTAACATAGAAATCCTATCTCTACTTGGATGCCCTAGTCGCCAATGTCATAGATCTACTTGGTGTGGATTAAAGTTGAAAGAGCTGGCTGCTTGTGGAAGTGAGGATAGTGATTGGTCTCTCTCTGGATTGGACAAGGTGAGCTGGTACAATCCTCTAACCTCTCTTGCTGAACCAATCGTCCTCTTGCTTAGAAGGTCCTGGATTTGGCAGAAATCAGATTGGAAATGTAAGGCTAGAGGGTGATCATGGGTTAACTTACTAACAGACACAAGGTTAAAGGAAAAACTTGGAACAAATAGAACATTATAGAGATGAAGTCCTGAAGGTAGTTTGACAGTCCCTATGTGGGTCACTAGAACCTTTGTGGTATTTGGTAAGTAGACAAAAACATCTTTGACTGGTTTATGGTCAAGAAACAAAGACAAGGAGCAAGATATGTGATCTGATGCTCCTGTGTCCAGGATCCAAAAGGTAATTGGGTCAATGCTATTCTGTTCTGATTGGGAGGAAAGAATGTATTTACCTGAGTAATTAGGAAAGGGTGGAAGGTACTGTGAGACTGAGTAGGCACTATGGGAGATAGATGGTGAGAGAGGAGTTGTAGGGTTTGAGTTAGCACCAGTCTGCATCATAAGCCTAAGCCTGTTTATCTCTTCAGGAGTAAAGGCTGCAGCTGCCTTTGCCTGACTAACAGGGCTTCCATCAGAAGTATCACCATTGTAACTTACCTCTGTGGAGGAGTCTCCTGAGCTGGTTTGAGAAACAGACCCAGCAAACCTTGGTGAATTGGTTTGGCTTCCTGCAGAACTACCACCTCCATCAGCTTCCTTCTTCCTTTTTGCTTTTCAGCACTCATCTACCACATGTCCAGGCCTCTTACAGTATATGCAGTACTTTCTTCCTTGCCCCCTTTGTCCTGGTTCCTGAGGTGTTCCAGCTGCTAAAGCTACACTCTGAGCTTTCTTTCCAGTACTGCCTTTCTCAGCCTTCAGTTTCTGTTCATACTGGAGTAAATCATCAACTGCTTCAGAGACACTTGGTAAAGGTTTCTACGAAAGCAATTGACTCTTGATGATCTCAAAATCAGGGCTTAAACCCCTCAGGAACCTAATCAGATAATCTGTTTCTTGTCTCTCTGTATAAGCCACAACTGCATCACAAGGATTAGGATTCTCTGGAGCACAGTTGCAGGCAACAATAGGACTGTACTGCAAATACTCTTCCATCAATCCTTTAAACTCTGTGTAATACTGGTTAATAGACTGAGTTCATTGCTTGCACTTATGTATATCATCTTCCAGATTAGTGATTCTTATAGCATTGGGCTTTCCATACCGTCTCTTCAATTCATCCCACAGAACTCTAGCATTCACATGACTCATGACCGACCTTCTAAGATCCTTGTTCAGAGAATTCAAGATCCATGACAGTACAGCAGTGTTACATCCATCCCACAAAAGAAATTTGGTTCGGTTCTAGGAGGCATAGGTATCGTCCCATCAATGAAACCCAGCTTGTGTTTCATTTTCAAACCCATGATAACAGAACGACTCCAGAGAGTGTAATTACTACCATCGAACACCTCAGACCCTATAGATTGATTTAAGGCCTCATTGGGATTCAGATAGTAAGGATTACCGAACGTTATGACGTCGCTTCTAGCTCCAGCAAAGAGTTGCTGCTGCTGATCGTCGAACGAACCGAATTGGAAAGCGCGAGGACCTGACCCATTTCCTCCGGACTGACTTCCCGCTGACGAAGAAGTCTGGCGTGCTTGAGATCCTTGAGATCCCGGCGGCGGCGGCGGAGTGTTGGCCATGGTAACCCTAGTTGCTTGACCGCTCTGATACCATAACAATTTAGATGGGTTCGGAGAATTGCAAACCCTCAGAAGAGACTGAGAGCTTCTCTGCTTTCATATATAGCAGTGCTCTGTAAACCCAGAAGCACTTTAACAACAGCCACCTGGCAGAATGCCATTGGCAATTACAAACATAACAGTGTCTTAGCAACGGCTAACTAGCCTTTAGGTAAAACGACATCGTTCAAAGTAAATAACTAACATAGAAGAAACTTAAGACTGAAACGTTTCTTCTATGAAACTCCTTCTTCTCTGCTGCAATCCAGATCGCATCAGGACTTCTTCTGCACCAATTCATTTCAGTTGGTTGACACTCCATCGCAACCGACTTTCCCTGATACGTCATTCCTTTCCCCACACCAAGTCATTATATTCAGCCTCCATCTTAACACATTCAAACTAATTAAGCTAACTGATCTTATGTTATTATGATTATGTGTGTGACAGTGGTCAGGGAGGAGAGGAGTCTGGAGCCGAAGCCGCGGTGGAACCCGAAGCTGGAGCAGATCAGGATCCTGGAGTCCATCTTCAATTGACAAGATGAAAGTCGGAGCGGAGGCAACGCGCTGAAGCGAAGGCGGGCGGATTTCAATTTAGAATTTATAATAATTTTTTTCTGTTTTAATTATTCTGCTTTATTGTGAAAATGAGTTGTAATTATAAGAGATTATATTATATTACATCAATTATTTTTTTAATTGTCACATAATTCAATTAACGGTCAATTTTGAGAGTTGAATGCTACATCAAACAAAATTAACTGAGTTGGACGGATAGTGACCAAATTTAAAACACTTAACTAATCATAGTGACCACGAATGAAATTAAATATTTGTAGTGATCAATCATTAATATTTTTAATAAAAATAATGACCAACCTTGGAATTAACCTTATTTGATGACTACTTGAAGAATCATTTTATAGGTTACTAAGCATTCCATCTGTCACCTATCCAACTTAACAAAAATAAAAGTTTTGTTTACGAACACTGAATCACAATTTCAGAGTTGATGAATCAATCTGAAACTAATATCCACCCCGCGTTTTCGTTTTCACTTTTCACAACACCACAATGAGTTCCAATAAAAAATAAAAAAAACACCACAATGAGTTGAATTTTCTCTTAAGTAGTTGTTGATAAGCGACAATGAAGTCCCTTAAAGGTATGACTTTTGTCCCTTATAAACTCCCCCTATCCCCTTCTTCTTTCTTCGTCTTCCTCTCCCGCCGGAGAATTTTTCTTCCTTTCCCATACAAAGGCAGGACCGCCAATTCGGAGGGAGACTCGACACTTGCAAAGCTCATCTTGTTTTTTTTTTTTTTTTTTTTTTGGCTTTTGTCTCCCATGGCTTCTCGTAGCTATGGCGCTTATTCTTCTCCCCCGTGGTTACTGTCTGCGGCGATCTATGCTTTGCTGTTTGGGTTCCCCTGTTCTGCCTTGGGAACGATCGGGTTCGATTTCCACCACCGCTACTCCGATCCCGTCAAAGGGATGTTAACCGTCGATGATTTGCCGGAGAAAGGAACTCCCCACTACTACGCCGCTATGTCCCACCGCGACCGCGTTAACTGGGCGAGTGGGTCCCGCGGTCGTGGCCTCCTCGATCAAACTTCCACGCCGCCTCAGACGCAGCTCACTTTCTCCGACGGCAACGAGACTTACCGCCTTAATTCCTTGGGATAGTACGTTTCCTCTCTTCTTCCCGTTTTCCCCCCTTGTTTTTGGGGGATTTGTAACTGAGCTTTGTTTTTCTTCTCAAGAGTTACTGTTTGAAATTTTACGTTTTGTTTGGGTTCTGGGGAAGTTAGGAGAAGAGAATGATGGCTGCCGGACTTGTTTGGTCGCTCGCTCGTATCTGTTCCTTCAGTTTCCTTGGCTTTCTTTCATTCGCGTTTTAAATTCTATCTTTTTGTGTCATTTCCCTTCAATTTCGGAAACGCCATTTCCACACCCTAATTTTCTCAGCAACCAAACAATCCTAATTCCCCACCTTCTGATCTCCTTAAATTAATGATGTTTGGTCCCTTGGCAGCTTGCATTACGCCAACGTTTCAGTTGGAACGCCAAGCGTTTCGTTTCTGGTGGCACTCGACACTGGCAGCGATCTCTTCTGGTTGCCCTGCGATTGCGAGAGCTGCGTTCGTGGCCTGCAGAGCTCATCTGGGCAGGTCTCAGTTCTAATCACCATTTTTTTTAGATTAAAATACTTGTCCTGAAATCCTTACACATGTTCCTCCTGTTAGTATCTGACATCTCAAAACCCTTCTCTTCTTTTTCTACAGAAAATTGACTTCAATATTTACAGTCCAAACACGTCGTCCTCGAGCGGAAGTGTCCCCTGCAGCAACAGCTTGTGCCCGCTTCAAAGACAATGCCCTACGCCGCAGACCGATTGCAGCTATAAGGTTGAATATCTTGATAATGGCACTTCATCAACTGGAGTCCTGGTTGAGGATGTGCTGCACTTGACACCAGACGCTACCCCCTCCAAATCATCGAAACTAGTGGAAGCAAAGATTACATTTGGGTAAGAGAGCCAACGAACCAACCAGCTGGTCTTCTTCTACTGCTCTTCTTTAGTACTAGTGTCTTGTGGATTAAATGAACTTTGTTGTTTGTTGCAGTTGTGGCCAGGTTGAGACAGGCTCGTTTCTAAATGGGGCAGCTCCCAATGGTTTGTTTGGTCTTGGGATGTCCAATATATCAGTTCCCAGTACTTTGGCAAAGGAAGGGTACACTTCCAATTCTTTCTCCATGTGTTTTGGAGAAGATGGGCTGGGGCGAATCAGCTTTGGAGATTCAGGAGGAAGTTCAGATCACGGAGAGACGCCTTTCAATCTTAGAAGCTTACAGTAATTAACTAATTCCTATTTGCTTACTGATTCAAATCAGAGATGAACTCCCATCTTGTTTTGGTGGCTGATCCTTCCTGTTTTCTTTGTAACAGCCCCACTTACAACATTAGCATCACTCAGACGGTAGTGGGAGGAAACTCTGAGGATGTTGAGTTTTCAGCAATCTTTGACACGGGCACCTCGTTTACGTACTTGAATGATCCTGCTTACTCTGTTATAACTCAGAACGTGGGTACATGACTGATTAAGCATTGAATATGTACTCTATTCGTTTTTGGGAGATTGCTTGCCAGTTAATTAATGCTTGCATTTGCAGTTTGACAGTTTGACTAAAGACCTGCGACATTCATCATCTTCTACTAGTAATCTCCCTTTTGAGTATTGTTACGACATAAGGTCCTTGTTCAATACATACATTTTGCTCTTCTTTGCCTGAACCGGCTTTATTTCCTGAGGATGCGGTTTTTTCTTATTCTTTTGTGGTGGTTTTGGTAACTTGCAGCTCAAACCAGACCGAGGTGCCCACGCTCGACCTAATAATGAAGGGCGGAGATTACTTTAACGTGACTGACCCTCTGGTATATGTGAATCTTCAGGTAATAACATGGGGAGGCCTATTAATTTGCATCTCGATTCTTTCTTCTCATTATTATGGTAACATTCACTTATACGAGTTTGGTGTTGTCAAAATGCTGCAGAATGGCGGCCTTCTGTACTGCCTAGGACTGGTGAAGAGTGGTAATGTCAACATCATCGGACGTGAGTGTCACTATCTTTGGTTCAGACTCGTCTCTTCAACCTTGAGATTCTTATTGAGTTCTTCATCGTGTCTTTCTGCAGAGAACTTCATGACTGGTTATCGGATAATCTTTGATCGGGACAGGAATGTTTTGGGTTGGAAATCATCAAATTGTGAGTCTTGATGATGGATGATATACTCATCTGGATTTCTGAAGGGAAAAAACATTTTCCTGATGTTCAGTGTACTTAACTCAGGCTGTTGCATATCTACGCAGGTTACACCAAAGAGAGTTCCAACACCTTACCAATCGGCCCCACAGATTCTTCCATGGTGCCGCCGGCTACAGCAGTGAACCCAGAAGCCACTGATACTGGCGGGAACAATAACAGTGCATCTGGATCCGGACAACGGAATAATTCACCACGAAAACTTGTGTTGTTTAGATTTAGGGTCGTCACAGCTGTTATTTGCTTGATGTTATTCTTTACTGTTTGATTCTTCCTTTCACCGATTGTTATCTTCTCGGAGGTGTCTACATTTAGAGTGCACACACGGTACACAGCAGTTATAGGCATTTCGTTTCTGGTTTAGCTCAGGAAGCAGGCAATGTTAGCTAGCTCCTTTTTACCTGTATTTTTGGTTCATAATAGAGCTACTTTGAATACAATCTGCCATATGTTCTGCTCCACTGTAATAAGACATTTTATAAAAGTTTGAAAGTCACAAAATTTCCCTTCAGGTTCTGTGCATCAAAACAACATTGCAAAACCGATACCATATCGAAAAGTCTACTAGACAGACAAAATTACAGCCAAATATATGATGCCCTTTTCTTTAATAGAAAAGGATTCAACGACTCGTCATCTTGTTTTGGTTTTCTTCTTTACTGACTGAACAAGCTTCGAGTGCCCCACTGTCCCACTCTCCGTGCGTTTCAACTTCATCGACTTGTGTTCTTTCTTTGATGCCTTGCTGTTGGAAGGCTGCTCGAGTTGTTTCGACTTCATCTTAATGGACTTCACCAAAGAGGATAGCTCGTGCTTCACTTTTTGTGCTGACAGATTATTCAAGTTTTTCGGTTGTTCATCAGCTGTTGTTTCCGAGTCGGCAGGAATTGACTGCGCCGGGTCACCTTTCCGCTGCTGCTTCTCCATTTGCTTGGCATAGGCAGCACTCCTGGAGCAGTTCCATGTTCGAACAAGCCAAATATAAGAGTCCAACAATGCCATAAAAGCCATAATAAACTATGCGATGCACAAAAGGCATTGAAAAGATCATTACCTCTTGAACTGTGGATCTGTTGGATCTAATGCAAAGAGAGGCGACTTAAAGAAGGACGAAAATCGTGGGTCGTCATAATCAACTGCAGGTAGCTTCTTGCCCTTGTCTGGAACTTCTTTGCCCTTTTTACGGTTCTTAGATTTCTTTGGTTTCAGATTATACCCTTTAGGTCCATCATCAGTCCCCTTATCATCGGCAAGTAGTAACTCTAGCTCAGCTGTTGTTGCTGCTTCTTCGGACACCTCGTTCTCATTTTCCTTTCTCGACTTTTTTCCTTTCTTACCTTTGGCCTGAGCAACACCCTTCTTGGAACCTTTATCATCAGCTGATGGCTCCTGAACAAAGAAGTCATCTGCATTTTCTACACCTATGGCATCATCATCACTACTACTTTCTTCATCATCTGATGAATACTTTGACTTGGATTTCTGTTTGCGAGCAGCCTTCTTTTCTTTTCTCTTTCTTAGGTACTCTTCCCATACAGTTCTTGATTTCTTGTCCTTCTTTTCCATAAAGCGCTTGCTCAAGTTCTCCAAGCCTGCGTTGAAGGTAACCTCCATGTCCTGCCCTTCCTCCTTCTCATCTTCATCTGAACCATCACCTGACTGGATTAGAGCCCTGTACTGGTCTCCCTTGCTGTGTTTTTTACTCGAATGATTGTCTGCATCATCCTCATTTTCATCACTTTCACCCTCGTCGGAAGCTAAAAATTCCTGTAACTCCTTATCATCTACCTGTAATTTGGAGAGAAGGAAATAGTTAGACAAAGGGCAGATGTGGACAGCTCATCATTTTGATCACAAGCTCTTAATTATCAATGAAAAAGAAAATTGAAAACAAAATCAATGATGCAGAATCTGTAGGGTAGCATATTCAGTTCTTTAGAAAGAGCTGTCTGTTTACCTGATCAGCATTAAATTTTCGTTTCAAGGTCTTCACACGCTGAGGTTCATCTTCATCCCAGGAAATGGGTATGTTGCTGTGCTGCAAAGCTTTAGTGTGGAAGTCTATTCCATCATAACTACTAGGTGCCTGTTCAAGAAGGGATCAGTGGGACTTGGAACTATCATCCTTTCATTTTGTGAAGAAGATTACCAAAATACAATACTAGAGAATTCATTGCTGCTGATCAAAGATATGATCAGGGACTGACCACCTGATGCCTTATCATAACCCACCCAAATCATTTAGATAAAGTGCGTCAATCATTTAATAAATTCACTTGAGCATACTTCTTATAAAATCTTTATCAGCATTAGACAAGTAACAAATTACCTCGGTTGCAATGTCACGTGGTGGATGCTTAAATTCCATAGAATCAGGAATGAATCTCAAATCAAGCACATTGGATGATCTCTCAAACTCAACCCCATCACAAACATTGTAAAGGTACTCAGCGGTTGCAATTGAATCACATTCCACCACAGCAAAGTAATACCTGATAATGATGTGCAATTGGTTGAGAAAAGCAGGAAGTATCAAGTATCAAATACCACCAACAAATCATGAAAAATTACAATGAAAACAAATGGTTATCTTCTCAGATTACCTCAGCCTAGTTTTCTCATAAGCACGTAGCTTCTCCTCATCTATCTCATCAGTACTGTCATCATCCTCATTGTTTTCTTCATCGTCAAATAAGCCAACAGGACCGTGAACTTCCTCTTCTTTCATCCGCTCAAGTCCAAATTCTGAAGGATATACAGCTACCGACGAGATTACCCCACCACTGGGAAGAAAGGAACGCAGTACTACAAAAAGATCAGCAGCCTGTTTATCCAACCAAGCAAACATATGATTAATAACACGATATAAACCACAAATGAAAAAACAACTCGAGCTTAGCTCTCTCCCAATAATAGTAAGGTTCGTGTACACAATCAACGACAAAGACAAGCATGCTTCACATGTTAGCTATGAAAGCAGGTCCTTGGTTTGCTTAATATAATAGCATACATACCCTGACATGCCTCCAATCCATATTAACAGCAGCAAGCCTTCTGGTCCCATCTTCAACAATCGGTACATTCTCCACCTGTTGCACATCAAACCAAAATGCATGTCATAAAGGAAGTGCATAGACAGAAACTCTTAAGAAAAGCAGAATGGAACAGTCATGAGATAAAAATGGATGGTAGTTACGAAGTTCATAGCAAATGACAAGGATGATCACCTCAACTTCAGTCGAATCATCCTCAAAAAGAACCCCAGCTGCTGCATCTTCTTCATCAGTCGTCGAACCATCTTCAGCATCATCTACTTCGTCATTATCCGAATCCTCTGCCGCCTCAGCCTCGCTACTGGACTCGCTTCCGGCGAGAACCGGCTTTTTTGGTTCCTCCTTCTCACTCTCTTCTCTCTCGCTTTCGATTTCTTTCAATTTTCCTTCTCCTTTCTCTTCATCATCTTCCTCAATATGATCATCAGCCTCGCTACTGGACCCGCTTCCGGCGGCAACGAGAACCGGCTTCTTTGGTTCGTCCTTCTCACTTTCTTCTTCCTCGCTTTTGATTTCATTCAATTTTCCATCTCCTTTCTCTTCACCTTCCTCAACATGATAATAATGGCGAAACAAACTCTTGGAGTCCTGCTTCTTCCGCCTGCCACGCTTGTCTAAATTTGTGGAGGAGCCACCGAAATTCTTGTCGGTGAACATGCGTTTGAATCTGGAATCGATAGCAACCTTCGTCTTGCGCTGCGGAACCTTCTGGAACCGAGGGTCAGTGTGAGCCATGGCAAACCGAGGATCCGAAACCATCTCGCCGCCTGTTGCAGCTCTACCATTGCTGTCCAAGCCTGAGATTTGTTTCTTTTTCTTATCGCTTTTCATCGTCTTCTTATTTGGCTCAGAGGGAGGCGGAGGAGGGCGGCTCGACCTCTTCTTTGTAGTTCGAATAGAGTTGGAAATCAATGGAGACGGAAACCACAAAGCCAGGGAGGCGACTGTTACGTACTGTCAATCGAGTCTCTCCTCTATACTCTCTAGGGTTGGGGTTCTGCTACTGCTCTGCCCGTCGCCGTTGAGGAATGAGAGAGAAGGCCGAATCAGACCTCTGCTGCTGCTCCGTCGCCGTCGCCGTCGCCGTTGAGGAAGGAGTCGGGCGTCGCGGTTAAAGAAGGAGAGAGAAGGCCTAAGCAATGGTCGCCGTTGAGGACTTCCGTTGAGGAATCTGGCGAAAGGCGTCCTTGATCGGCCAAAGCAATTGTCGCCGTTGAGGACTTACTGCAACGGGACCCGAAGCAGAGCGACGGCCGACGTGGGAGCAATGGGCAGTTGCGGCGGTGACGGGCGAGGACATCAACAGCGAACGGCGGCGACGGGGAGATGTCTTTCCTTCTTCGTCCTCGAGCGGCTGACGGCTGAGCGAATGAAGGATTAGGGCGACAGCTAGACAGTTCAAGGATTAGGGCTATCCTCTATTTCATTTAAGTCTAAATGGGATGACACCTCCTGGTCACTATCATGGGCCTATTGGCCTAGTTTGGTTGTTTCTGTTTTACAGGCCACACTCCTCATCGGGCTGTTGGAGTGGCTTTTCTTGGAGAATTCGGGCCAAGACTTCCTGTAGTTTGCCTTTGGTTTATTTGGATGCCTGCTTCGACAAGCCCAGTGGACTGGTGGCTATGTGTGTGTGGTTTTGCAGGTACATCAGCGGTGATTACCGCCGGGCGCCGGCATTGCTTATATGGCTTCCGGATGTGGATGTGGATGTGGATGTGGATGTGGATGTGGACGTGGACGTACTTTGGGTGCGGTGTATTTCCTTTCATAGGTTTATGGTGTTTTTGTCACTTTATTCTTAGGAACTAATAAAATTGCTCATTTTGTGGCCTAAACGACTCTTTCATCGTCAGTTCGATTGGTATCGACTGACGTTATTTTTACTCATTGTAATAATATATGTCTACTGTTACATCTGACTATGATATAAAAAAAATAAAAAATAAAAAGGATTAGGGCGAGCTTTTAGTTTGGAATTTTTGGGGGCAAAAACGTCCACTTGTCTAAGTTAGGGCGACAAATTTAAAAAATTAGGGGGTGAGAGTGAATTTCGCCGACGACGTGATAGGTGGAGAAGAAAACGCTTTGGGAGGAGAGATTATCGCCGGCGACGGGATTGACAATTAGGGATTTAGGGCAATGGACGGGTAGAGGGTTTGGGAATTGGGGTCACCGTTTTAGGATTGGGGGTCTAATTGTCTGTTTCGTTAATTTAGGGCGAAAAATTTAAAAAGTTAGGGCGTTAAATAGAAGTTCAGTTTGAGAATGGGTGGCTGGGCTGGGCTTGGCTTGGCAGTGAGATTACTGGAGTGGGGTGGGCTGAGCTAGAGCCTGGCGTTTAGAGGCTTTTTTTTTCTCCGTTGAACTACGCATTTCTTTTCGATTTTGATTTCCTAATGGCTCGTTCACTTGCCATTCCATTTTTCATAGATGCCCCAACAGAAAAAATGGTTAATTGTATGGTTGGTCATTGAGATTACAAAAAACGTTCAAGTTTGGTCACTCGAAATATTAAAATCTATTGATGG